TCAAAGAAGCTCTGTTGTTTTGTTCAAGTTGAAGAAGATATGTTGTCAAGCCCTAATCACGACCCTTTTGTTGAGTCTTTGCTTTTTTTCTTTTTTTTTTAAAAAAAAAACAAAAGGCGACGCTATGGTCGCTTCTCGCGACACTGTCGCCTCTCGCCACGCAGGCAGAGGCGAGCGCTATTTCGAAACGCAACGCAACAGAGGCTCTGTGGCGACACTGTCTCGCCTCGCCTCGCCTCACGCTATTAGCGCTGAGGCGAGCGCTATTTATAACACTGGTAAAAACACAGGTTTCTATAGATGACTGCACTAGGTTTGCAATTATTTATCTATTTATTTTTATGCAAGAGGTTTGCTATTTCTAATATATTTATTCTGTAAGCAAAAGGTTGCATAATAAATTCATTTTTGATAGTTGATAAGTGCTGTGCACTGCAGCTTGTTCACTTCGTTAATCGAGATTCTATGGGTTTAGCAAATGATTTTCTTTCACTGGGATTTCTACCTGATGGAGTAGACATTCAATCTGTTTCAGACGCTTTGCAAGCGTCCTTTGGTGATGGAACCAAACAATCCCAAGATTTCCAGGTTCTTAACCTGTTCCCTCTGTGTGTGTGTGTGTGTGTGTATGTTTTTTCTCTTTCCTGGCTTGAGAATGCTTCCTACCAAGTTCGTCCTTCCATCTATATATGTAAGTATTGTGGTAGAGCTCTAGAGAAAGACTAAAACAGTGCAATCTAGTTTATCTAGGGAAAAAAAAGGTTGCAAACCGAGTTTAAAGCGGAGCCACCCCCCACCCTCACCCCCATCGCCCAAAAGGGAAAACCACGAAGAAAAAGCTTTAAAACCACCCCCCCAACCCTCACCCCCATCGCCCAAAAGGGAAAACCACGAAGAAAAAGCTTTAAAACAGTACGGAGTCGTTTGGTTTAAAAACGAGTTATCCGGGAATTAGTAAGCTAGGATTGTAACACATGGATTATTCCTTGATAGATGTTTGCATTGATGCATTTAAATTTGTATATAATGTATTAAATGTGTTCATTTTTGAATAAAATGAGAGTTTGTTTACTATTGTAAGGGTTAGTTTTGTCATTTTAGTTATTTTAGTCTGTGTATTACAATACCCGCATACTTATTCCACATTCTATCCCACATGAAATAGTAGATAGATTCCTGCTTAACCAAGCTTTGGATAAAATGGATTCACATCTTTTATATAAAAGGGAAGGATCTCACATCTGTCTCCCCACCTAAACAAGCTAGCTGGTTGGTTAGAAATATCTTTTGATGCTAGGAATTGGTTGGCTGGTAGTGTAAGCTTAAGTGATTTGCTGGACAGTTTCACTATAGCAGGTAACTTCAGCATCAAGGGGGCTTATAGTTCTTTCCTTCCACAGTATCCAAAAGTTCCCTGGAAGAAACTGATTTTGGCTAAAGGTCTACTCCCTAGACATCATTTGGTTCTGTGGTTAGCATTGCAGAATAGACTGTCAACAGTGGATGGACTCGGGAGATGGGGTATTCAAGTTCCTACAGACTCTGTCTTACGTTCTTACAATGCTGAGGAGACACATTGACACTTGTTTTTTGAGTGTTTTTACTCTGTACCTGGCTTACATTGCTCTCATGTATGGGCATAGGTAGACAAATTGGTGATGGGAATACAAAGGTAAGATTGTTGCACACGAGGGTGTGGCCTAGTGGTCAACGAAGTCTCAGGTTCAAATCCCAGTGGAGGAAAGAAACACTAAGTGATTTCTTTATATCTATCCAAGCCTTGGTGGATAGAGTTACCTGGTACCTGGTACCTGTTGCTGGTGGGAGGTGGCAGGTATCCCGTGGAATAAGTCAAGGTGCGCGCAAGTTGGCCCAGACACCAGGTTATCAAAAAAAATAAAAAATTACAGAGGTAAGATGGTTATCCTCTCAGATAAGCAATAGCAGGCCTAAATTCATGGTTCTGGTTTTCCTATTTGCTGCAGCTGTGTGTATCATATCTGGGTAGAGAGGAACTGTCGAAGATTTAAGCACATAGGGAGGGAGAGTGGTGACAGGCTCGAAGAAATTGTCTTGCAGTTGCATATTGTGGGACAGAGACAATGCAGAACTAGAGCAGCTGAATAGATTTCCTTGTTAGTAGGTATAGATTGCTGCTATATGAAGAGTCCTTGTCTTTTACCCTTCCTAATGCTAAGGTCTTATCTACTGATAGCTTATGCAATCTCTATCTTTAAGTTTGTTTTTGACTTGGTTATTTTTGTATGATGTAGCTCTAGAGTCAACTGAGCTCTTAAATAATTTTTTTTCAGTTTGATCAAAAAAAGAGAAGTAGCAATGGAGTATTGTATTAATAATATTGGATTTTATGTGGAGATGAATCTCCTCGTGAAACCAGCCAAACAACCCCTAAATTCCTTCTCCCTCTAGGCCGTCAATACAAGTGTGTGGCCTACCAACCATTGTCTGCTCTCATTCCATTTGCTCCTTCCATGTTGCAATCAGCTAAACAGTCATACTCATAACCCGATACAATTCAATAAATGGTGAGCAGCTTCATCAGTTTCAAGCACCCCCTAATGAAGATATATTACGAATATCCACCTTGCTTCTTTGGGAAGTAGTTTCCTAGTGCTTTTTTGGTGGTTAGATTTCATTTTGCTTTCTTACACATATATACTTTTGGAGGGTTATATGGATTCCTTACATTTTCTCAATCATTTATCGAGCCATGGTGGTGACAATCTCTATGAATCAACCAAAAGTTTGGACCTTGGAGTTGCATTCTTGAGAGTAAGATTTTTGGGATTAGTAGTAGTAGGACAAAATACATAAACTCCATGTCAGCCAGCATAAGAAGAATAAAGTAGAGCTGAGATTAGATGAGATATTTCTTTATCAAAGCACAGAGAAAGATCACATTGCCAAAACTTGACTTGGTACAATTTATGTTTATTCATCAAAAGTAGTTTGCGCTTGTTCGGAGGGGTTATCATAGATGAGTAGACTGTCATTGATGGTACATTGCAGTGTTTAGATACAAAAATTAAGATATCTAGGCTTAATGTTACAAGAGAATAGTATGTGATACATGAAGATGTACACATATGATTAGAGAAGGACGGTTGAAAATGGAGGAGTTAGTGAGAAGTGTTATATGATAGAAGTATCCCTATCAAAGTGAAAGCCAGGTCCTATGTTGCAAGATTAGCAATGTTATATATCCACATATTAGTTTCGTAAAAATGTTGTTCCAAAGTGGATGTCGGCTTATACAAACATTAGACAAGATCAGAAATGATAGTATCACGATAGCATCTGGCAGAAGGTGCAAGTAGCACATACAGAGGATAAATTTGGTGAAGGATGCTAGGATGGTCTAGTCTTGTCTTGTTCACCGTAGACCTCCATATGCATCTGTTTTTACGTACAACTCCACAACGATTGGAAGTCATGAAAGTGGACAAGATAGACTTAAAACAACAATTATCTGGAAAGACCTACCATCTTTCAGAATCAATGCCGAGTTAATGTAAAATAGAACACAATGGAAGCAAAAAACTCATATAGGTGATACCAATTATTAGGGTTTAGGCTGAGTTGTATTAGTACACTTACACTAGGCTTGATATTTGCCAAGACACTTTGTAATCTGTTTAGAGATTTGTATTGCACGTAGAAAATAGAAAACTTTTAGTGTTATAGAATTTTATTCTTGGAATAAAATGAGTCCAGCGGAGCGGAGTGAATATTGAGGATTTATATAGTTCTCCAACTAGGTTGGAATTGAGGCTTGTTGTTGATGGCATTGCCAGTAGGTGTAAACGCCTATGTACTTGGTAAATCATACTATCATAGAGGCTCTAATACCATTTGAGAGATAAGTGAGATAGAGGTACAATGTGTTAAAACACATATTAACTGGTGTGAGATACAAACCAAATGTTACATTTTTTATGTGGGTCATTATAAGGTTATACTCTATTTCTCTACCAATCTACCAATCCCAGGTCTATTGGATTTAGCTGCTTGATTGAATGTCCTGAGTTGTGTGATGAACTTCCTAATATTTGTCCAAGGAATATGTCATGGATGAACCGTCATTGTACTGTATGATGATTCTTCCTCCGAAATTTGGTCGACCAATTGCAATCTTATTTTACCCCCATGGATATCTTCTTCAACGAGACATAGGAGTATTAGCTTGTTTCATGACCTTGAAAGCACTAAATGGCACTTCAAATGATTTCAGGGCATAATGAATCAATTGTATGATGTGATGTATGAGTTCAACTTTTCTCTTCCTCCTGACTATGCTTTGGTGATACGAGCGCTTGGATCTCTTGAAGGAACGGCAAAAGCATTGGATCCAGATTTCAAAGTTGTTGAAAGTGCATATCCTTTTGTTATCGGAAGACTCTTGGTAGATTCAACTCCTGATATGAGGAGAATATTGAGAGAGCTTCTCATCCGCAATGATGGCACTATAAGGTGGAATCGGCTAGAGAGACTGGTGGGTCATTGATTTTTCTATTTGTTGTTATACTTGTTTCTGTATGCAGTATTGAAATGTATGTTTTCTACATGTTTGATTAGCTGATCCTTTTTATGACGTGTACAGCTTTGCTTTTGCTTAATTAATTGACTCTCAAAGAACTTATTAGCTGTTGCTTTCTCATTTTTTTTTTAATTTCTCCAAACTGCTTACAAAAACTATTATATTTGGCTCCTAGCTTTCTTGTTATTACCAATATACTCTTCGTCTGTCACTACTTTGTTTGGAAGGTTCAATTTTGTTGCTCTTGTTTGCAGGAAGAATGAGTAATTTTCACGACAGGAAAAATCCCGAATAAGCAAGGCCAGCATCAGCTTAGACATGATAGAGCTTCTCAAACTGTCTAAGTGTATTGGCAACTTGATTTACAAAAGCTAAATTTTTTCCATGCTCCCAAAAGGAAAAAATAGTAGCAGGGTGAAAATTTGAAGACATTCCCTAATTTATGCTCATTATAAGAGGCAACCAAGTCATCCAACTTGAAATAATAGACAACCGGGCAGCTATGTTGCGCGGACTCTTCGAAAATATTGCCGGGTTCGTGTCGACTAAGTTGCTCCGACACGGCAGTTTAGGTGCCGCACCCGTGTCAATGCGACACTAGTATGGGTATGGGTATGGGATCTGTATTGGATTTGGTCAAACAATTTTGTGTACTTTGACCACGATGGACGGAAAAATTCCAGACGAGATACAATTTGATTCCCGAAATCAAAACCAAAACTAGGGTAAATTTGAAGAAAATAGCATCCCTTACTAGGAAATCAATCCTTTACTTATCTACCACTTGAGAATAAAAATGAAATCCACACTTTACAAGCTATAGGTAAGTATTCTACAAAATCTCTCATAATTTAGAGATACTTTTATTTTTTTGAATTATTTTTACCCGGATCCCCGCACTCGTATCTGAACTAGGATTCGTATCCCTGAATCTTAGAATTTACACCTCGAAGGATCCAACCTCTAGATCCGCACCTGTGTCGGACATCCGTACCCGTGTCCGAGCAACTTAGCGTGTCCAATCCTTCAAAAGTAGTGTGTTTTTGGATCCGACACGAGTGCAACATTGACAACAGCTTCCTTCTGTAAGATTTGTTTAGTTGACTTCGTCTCCTTTTCCTGGAATTTTGTGCTTCCGTATCACAGCTTTTTATCACAGCTTTATTCCGGAAAATAGGTACCTCATTTTCCTCCAAAGAAATTCATATGCTTTAGCCAGTGTAAGTGTGTAATGGTGGCTAGGTATTGTGTAATGCATGTCAGTATAGTAGAATAATCGACAGTAGCTAGCTTGTGCTTTGAGGTTTAAGAACCCTTTGTGGGGAATTGCAGGTAGTAAAATGGAAGCTTATGTCTTTCCTGCACTACCTTTGACTAAATCGTGAAAAGGAGGTAGTTTTAATTCTTTTCTGCTGGATTCCAAAATTATGAGACGTGAAAACCTTGTCTGATCTATCTAGGTCTTCTTTTTATATGATCCTTGTAAATAGTATGATGCCATGAGTACTCGGTAGAAGTTGTCAGCTTTTCTTTTTCTTTGTTAGATCGGTAAAAGAAGCACTTCTGTCTAATGTGTCCAAATAGAAATATCATTGGGTAGGATGCATTTTGCTATTAAAAGATGATCCTCAGAAGCTTGATATCTTTTCTAATACTTCAACTTCTGTAATCTGTTTGGTTGAGACTGATAAAGGTGTTGATGAGCTGTTTAGGACTCCTGTTAATTAGAGCACTCTTTTATGTGAATTGTTTAAAATGTGGTATCTTCCCGCAGATTGCAGCAATATCTCAGCAGGCTTCTGAAACAGAAGGAGAAACTCAAGAGAGTTATTCAAATCCGTTAGGATCATTTGACATACGGGCCGTAGTCTCTGCTACGGAAGATCTTCTCCAATTTATTTTGTCAGACAAGGGTTCAAGGGTCCTTGTATTCCTTGTCAGGGACATAGTTAAAGCAGCTGATGTTTTCTATCAAGATGAAGTTCTAAATAATCTTCTTGATGAGAAGCTTCGAGCGAGACGTTTATTTGGAAATGAGGTATATTTGATTTATTTATTTATGCTCATCTTTAGCAACAATGCTTATTATCAAAACAATAAGGTGCATTTTATTATTGTGAACATTGTAATCTGATTTCAATATTCAAACATGATACTATTAACTCGATTTTGACAAGAGTGTGTTGCTCTAGTGGTGAGCGCCCTCCACTTCCAACCAAGAGGTTGTGAGTTCGAGTCACCTCAAGAGCAAGGTGGGGAGTTCTTGGAGGGAGGGAGCCGATGGTCTATCGGAAACAACCTCTCTATCCCAGGGTAGGGGTAAGGTCTGCGTACACACTATCCTCCCCAGACCCCACTAGTGGGATTATACTGGATTGTTGTTGTTGTTGATACTATTAACTCGACAAAGCAATTTAACCAACCTTCATTACTGAACTTCAAATATTCAATCTAATAGAAACGAAGAGATCCTATTAATTAAGTAATTAGAAGCAAATTTGTTGTCTTCCTAAACAAATTGTTTTCCCTTTTGTGATACGCACAGATTTGCTGATTCTGTTTGTGTTTTACTGATTGTAAGTTGTTGCATGAGATGTCACATTCACTATATCTCTTGGAAATCAGTTTCTTACTTTGTCAGCGGATGGATTGTCGTTTTCTTGTTTAATTAGTTTGCATCTTAAGTTCTTGGGTTGGTACTTTATTTTCCTAACTAGTAGTCGTACCCGCGCGATTCGCGGTCAATATTAAAAAATATTAAATTAAATTAGATTGTGATCGGGCTTGTTTGAACATATTAGATCGTATTGCTTTAATAAATTTCAATTGTCATCTTATTTGTCAATATGATATACCCAATAATAAAATTTCTATTAAATTAAAGGGATTTATATAGTCATTGAATAATTTTTTTGTTATTAATAGAAATTTTTATTAGCATATTAATTTGTTTAATATTTTGTCTGCTCGTAAGGGTGACAAGTGGGCCGGTCCAGGCCCGGGACCGCGGGCCAAACGGGCTAGAACCGTTTGGCCCGGTTTTAGTGGGCCTGGGCCGGTCCTATGATTTGGGCCCGCCAG